GCTGCAGTAGCTCTTCTACCTACGTCTGTATGGGTGCCACGTGGGAGAGCAGTTATGCAGGAAAAGATGGTGCCAATATGCATCCACTGTGTGCACTGGATCTATAGCAGTATGTCAGTACATAGTCAGAACCATGAAAATGGCACGGCCAATACGCAGCCATGTGCGTAGAGGCAAAGGACGCGGACACTGTGTTGTGTAGTCAGCTCTTCTTCCCTTTATTTTTCAGCAGAGAAGAAAGAAGTCTCAGGACACTCTTTACACCGTGAGTAAACAAAGGAGCTTTACGGTGTGGTAAAGGCAGTGTTTGATCTGTGCGTCTGCTTAGGAATGTGTCTCGGTGCTAAGGGTGTGTGGGTCAGATTTTGGATATGTTCCTTATCATGTCACTTTTCCCAAAATTAACTAAACTGACCTGCTTCATATGGGGAGGCTGGGGACTGCATGGGGCTATACAGCCATCTCAGTCTATGGCCCATCTTTTTTTCCTGCTGGGAATACCCCCACCTGCTCCTTCCTAGGTACAAGGGAAGTTCTGTCAATAGTGCTTATCTGTGTCCCAGTAGCATCCTACCTGGGATGTTGGTTTTTTAACACTGTATCATAGTGAAGGGAACTAATATCTTCTGCTATAGGGTAACAGTAGTGGCAGTTAGCACTGGAGTCCTGTGTTTTCCGCATGTGTTGGGAATTTACAGCTGCATCAGGGAGTCAGTTTCCCTTACAGAGTGTAAGCACAAGTCCTGATGGCAGCAGGGCTGTTAAGAGTTAGTAAACCCTTTCCACAGCAGATGCAAGAGGGCACCCTCTCTCTCTCACCTTGCAGAGTTCCTTTTCTCCATCCTCCTACAGCCTGAGCAGTAGCCTCTGCCTGGCCCTCACACTACAGCCAGAGGAGCTGTTCTGAACCTTGCTCCACACCAGGATTTGCTAGTGAAGGAGCCAAGTACGGGTAGAACAGATTTCACCTAAGGCTGTTAAAGAGTAGTCGACTATCCGATAAGCATTTGCTCATTGGATAGTCTTTTGACTAATCAACAGGCACTTCTGCATTCCTCCTTTCAAAGGAGGAATGCGGAACTCCACATACAGCCTGGGGCCAGAGGGAAGTCCTTCTTTGAAATGCACAAGAGTCCACAGTGGGGGCTCTTATGCATTTCAAACGCCATGGAGTCCTGGGCCAGCAGGGGGATTCCCCAGCTGATCCTGGGCTCCCTGTAGCTGCCCCTTTGAATTGTGCAGATGCGTGGTTTAAAGGGACAGCTGCTGCACAGCTGATCCATGGCGGCTGTCCCTTTAAACCACACATCCACGCAATTCAAACGGACAGCTGTGGGGAGCCCAGGGTCAGCTGGGGACTCGCCCGCTGATCCCGGGCTCCATGGCTTTAAATGCACAAAAGCCCCTGCTAGGGACTCTTGTGCTTTTCAAAGCAGGCACCAGCATGCAGCCCAGAGTCAGCAGGACTTCCTGCTGGCCCCGGGCTGTATGTTGGAGTTCTACATTCCTCCTTTGAAATGTACAAGAGCCCCAGCAGGGGCGCTTGTACATTTCAAAGAAGGAATGTGGAAGTGCCTATTGACTAGTCAATGGAAATTCCATCGACTAGTCAGTTAACCACATTTTAACATCCTTAACTTCATCTATGCTGCATATTTATGGGTTTGTCCCTTGCAATATGCCCTGCAAAGACCAACTAGTCTGAGATACAGGGGAAAATCGGGACACAGGATTCATTGATCTTGAGAAGCTTCATGACCACAATCCAAGAAAAATCATCCGGTGCTGTATGAGAATGAAACAAGTGGCTGAAGGCTAGTCAGCTAGAAGGCCATGTGAAGCAACGGAACAGTTTCTAGTAAGAGTTGGACTATACCATGCCTTGGCAAAAGTCCCTTTTTATTTATATGGGTGCTCAGTGAGCTTTCAGAAAGAGCCAGATAGTGGCACCTTGCCACATGGCTTTTGCAGCTGCTGAGGTACCTGTGAGAGAGACCAAAAAGGAAATGGGGAAAGACTTGAGAGAGATGGAGAGGCATCCATGAAAGGAATGGCATGAAACGTAGCAGCAATAAAACAGAATATATGCGCTGCAGATTTGATACCTTGCAGGAAGATGCAAAGACCAAGTTTGGAGGGCAGCCAGATTTGGAAGTTCAAGTGCCTAGATTTAAGAGTAGAGATAAAGGTGAATGCAGCAGTTAACTTAAGCAGATTGGGAAAGGCGTGGACTAAATGGTGAAAAGTGAATGGAGTGCTGTGCAATAAGCAAATGCTTATCAAATTGAAAACTAAGAATTTGCAAGTCAGTAGTGAGGCTCCAAATGCTGGGCACTGAGGAAGAGAAGCAGATCTAGAATGCAGTGGCAATGAATGTGTTCAAATGGATGCTTCCAGTTAAGAGGGCAGAGGAGGCGGTGATTGGAAGAACAAATAGGAAACAGGATGATTTTAAGACGGGTTGGAAGACTCAGAGCTAAACACTGTACAAAAGGATTTGAGGAGTTGTGGCATTACCAAGAAAGTGCTTTAAGACAGACAGTAATGAAGAAGATCTCAAAGAACCATCCTCACAATGGAGGCTAGGAGTCACGTGAGGTAGGGAAGGACTAGAAGTGAAAGGGAGGTAAAGGAGCAACCCCGTAGTGGGGCTGAAGACATCAATGGGGCGAGCATGGCTTCTTACATTGCTAATGCTGTTCTCTAAATTTGGTTACTAGTCTTTGCAGAAGGACAAGATGGGTGAAGCGTACAGTGAAATTGGGAAGAAGGGAGAGGTGAGTGGTACCTTTCTTTACACCAAAGGCTGAGAATTTTCCATCCCGTATAAGATGTTCCCACTACAACATACACCCTCATGACTTTCACATGTAAAGTGACTTCCCAATTTAAAAACCCTTCCCCCTAGAGCAAGAATTGACTTCTTTCCAGTAGCAATTGCATTTTACTAGTGATTTGCAAACAGCTAATATATTAAAGATTGAGAGCTGTAAAAACCAGGTGTTACTATTAATGTAATTTTACTTTTCTGTTCATGATTTGAGTGCAATCGTAGAGGTTAGACAGTAAGTGGTGTCCCATCAATACTGGAAACATGCCACTTCCCTTACCCATTCAGTTATATGCCTGCAGCATAACTTAAGAACAAAAATTAAATGGGTTGATTTTTAACGTGCTGCCACTCAAACAGCTAAGGGCCTGGACTCAAAGTTCCAAACAAAAATTCACCTTCGGAAAAAGACAAATTGGAGAATTTCATCCTCTGTCAGAGTGTGTTTGTTTCCGAAAGCTATGAAAACAAGGCCATTTTAGTATAAGCTTTAATAGGCACTCCAGCTGATGATGTTCTCCCATCCCCTTCCCTTTACATGGGGGTGCACAAGCACGTTGTCACTCATCCTTTTGTACATATCTGATAGTGTCCAAGGGTTGCTGCAGCCGCTCTTTGAAATGTCAGGCTTGGCTCACTTGGAAATCTGCATCTTACGTGATGGTGTTTCGAGCTGGTTGATCTGACAGCTGCTGGGGCTATTTATATGCATGTCATTTTATTGACCGGTTTGAGTTTATGTCCTTAAGGGTCCATGAATGCTACTTTTGCATCAGACAGAGAATTAATTCTGGGTGAATAGCTGAAGGTTAGGCAACTTATTGCACTGTCCTCTGTATTGGAGAGTGCAGAATCATCCTCTCTCTCCCTCCCCGCCCCCACAATGTGTAGCAGTCATCAAATGAGAGCTAGTCCTTAATTGTACTCATAAGCTTTTTTGTGAACACTGCAGATTGAAATACAGTAAAATGCCGCCACAATCCAAAGCAGGCATGGCTATTAATCCATGACTTTTATTTCCCAAAGCACCAGAGACGGCGAGGCAAAGGGAACGATGGTGTCTACCAGGTAGGGAGTGCAGCCATAGCAATGCTCTTATCTAATGCCGTGACCTGAGTGCAGCTCCTATGTGTACGTCTCATCTTAGCTTGCTCATGGTTATTGCTGTGGGGCTTTAGTGTCTGACCAGTGGTGACAGCTCTGAAGTAGCTGCAGCATAAAGCTCACCCCCACTTTTGTTAAAAATAGCCCAGATCCTCTTACATGTCCCTACTATTTGTATTCTCTAGCAGGACAGGGAGCTGCTCTACACTAGTCCCAAATCTCTGGCAGCTAAACTTCCTAGAAAATCAAGTTGCATCCTGTCATCTATATCACTCCTGATCCAGAGAGGTCAGCTCTAACATGAAAGGGATGTGTCTGGTTGTTCTTGAAGTAGCCCAGATTATCTGCTGCCTAATATGAACCACCATTGGCTGAGTGCTGCCTGGCATCTGCAGCGACTCAATGGTAAAAATCAAAACTTAGTTCTCCTGGCCGACCACCAGATACAGTCATCAAGCAGCTTTTGTTATTATACAGTATTGAACAGGCTTGTGGATTGGAGGATTTTCTTTTGCCCATATGGCACTGACCAGTAGCAGAAAGGGTAAGTTAGCAGCAAGGAGCTGAACCAGCTCTGCAGCACCAGTTTGAACTGGTATTTTTACCTGGACTGGGAGGGAAAAAAAGTTAGGGTACCAATTAAAAATAAAGTTCTGTACATTTCAGCTCAATAGTTTAGGCTGTTGTAAACCTGTTGTCATGCGACAAACAAACAAACAGACCTGGCTTGAGGCTTGTCTATCCTAAAAAGGCTGCAGCACTTCAGTGAAGATGCAACCTATACTGAAAGGAGATCTGAGAGGCAGTAGCTCTCTCACGGTCTGCACTGGGAGTTAGGTTGGTATAACTGTGCTGGAGCGGTGCAGCTATACCAACCTAAATTGCTAGTGTAGACCAAGACCTAATATAAAAGGAGAATAGAAGGCAGCAAGTCCATATGCCTAGGGAGAGAGGAGGGGCATCTTAGGAGCTGCCTGTAGACCGCATGGGGCCCAGAGATAGATGAAGCCCTGATGGGTATTTGTACATGCCAATAAAAAACCTAGGGCAGTGAGTCCAAGAGCTCAGGCTGACGTCCACCCTCCGAGACTGCTTTCACAGCTAGAACGTCTACTTTTTAGCCCTATCGCCTGAACCCCAATGCCATGGGTCTTTTATTGTTGTGTAGCTGAGGTGTCCTCCCCAGGGAGAGAAGAGGTTTAAGGCTCCCTGATCCCAAGGGTTAATAACATGTCAAGCCCAAGGAAAAATGTAATTGCTCTTCAACCCTTGGGGCAATGAATCCCTTCAGGAGCCCCACAAGGCAGGACCCTGCTCTAAACTCACTTATTCTTTCACTGAAGAGGTCTCATAGGAAAGAACAAATAGTCAAAAATGTGATGTAAAGGAACTAAAACAAAGCGTTCATAAAAAAAAAGCTTAATGTGAGTTTTCATAGTGTTTTTTGCTAACGTTGAAAATAGTCAAATTATATTTTGTTTCAGTTCTCAATTTACTTCCACTAAGACTGAAATTTGAAGTGAGCAGTTCATACAAGTCAACAAACTTTTTTTTGGGGTGGCTTGAAAGAGAATTAAAATAATCCAATTTAAATATAGAATTGACCCCTCCCCTCAGCTATTAGCTCAGCTTTCCTACTTTAGTACTGAAGTTCATTTGGGCTCTTGGAGGAGGCACCAAACCTTAGATGCTCATGTTATATTCCCTAGAAAAAGGGGGAGAGGAGATTCCCCTCCCTTCTCTTCTACAATTAACTTCCCTTGAGCAATTTTGTTATGGTGATCATAAGTGCAGCTGGGAACTTAGTGGGATCTCCCTTAGAAGCTTTCTCCACAAAGGCCCTAGTTGCAGGCTAGAACACTATAGATTCTCTCAGTAGTAAATCAAAACATTTTTGCTGAAGTGGAATGGACACTGAGTCATACTATAGCTGGGTGGTTAAAGTATGTTTAGTATAGTATAAGCCCATCTGGCTTGAGATGAGAGACACTCTGGTTAAAGTCTCTAATCTGCCTGACTTGGAATGAACTGGGCTAGGAAAAAAAAACCTCTGATCTCAGTCAGGTACAACAAAGATTACAACTGGCTGGTTGTTTATCACCTTGGTATACTGTTGCAATAGCAAAGCATGCTGGGAACAGGTAAAAGAAATAAAACCACTCGTCAAAGCAAACTGAGCAATACCCTAGACAGTTTTAGAACAAAAATCAGAGGGATTGGGGGGGAAGGGAAAGCTGAGTTGGGGAGAAAGAGATATGAGTGCTGCTGCCCTACCAAATGCAGCAGGCTGGTCTCATGAGTCAGTGTTAAACTCAGGTGTCATGCCGAAATTCCTACTTTGCATTCTGCCTCCCTAAATTTCCCCCTCTGCACTCACCACTCTCAGTTGGATGTAGCTTATTGTGCTGTCCAGCTCTGCCTACCTGACACATTTGTCCACCACTGGTCCACCATTCAGACAGAGCCTGTTTGGGAACGAATGTGCTGCTGCTGAGGTTAGTATTGTAAAGCACTGAGAGCTTTCAGGATGAGTTACTGTAGCAATGTTTTTCATTAGCCCTTATTCAGCATGCAGCCTACCTTCAAGTTAACTGAGGACCAATGACCTCTTCACTGCTACAGAACGAACCAGGGTGCTGAACTTGTTTTCCCACTTCATGCAAAACTAAAGGCTCTACTCCAAGTGTTACCTCAACCATCTTACCTTCTCTTTCTTCTTTCAGGGTCTCAGCTCTGCAACCAAGGACACATATGATGCCCTCCAGATGCAGCCCTTGCCCCCTCACTAAATGGGATTCATGCAGTGGATGGGCAAAACCAAGACAAGTCCAGATGCTTTGGGGGAGGAGAGAAGGGAAACAACCATCAATTCAAAAAAGACAGTCCAGTCAACACCCATTTTCTCAGGACAGCAAATTACTTCAGCATGGTTCATTGCACAAAGTAGGGACAAGTCTGGATCTAGTTCCCCTCCTCCCATCCCCCCATCCAAACTATACAATCTCAAGCTTTTGCTTTTAAATGTACATATCTGTAAAACTATTCCTAATGATAGTAGCTGTTTCCTAGGCAGAGGTTTGTACCAGCAAGTGTTGTAGATGGGGCAGGAGATCAGGAATCTTGGTTCTCTTCCTCCTCCTCACTGAGCCTGGCTATTTAATTCCCCATCTACACCCTATTTACCTACCTCATAGGGTGTTGAGGTTTAATTATAGGCTAAAGCACTTTTAAAGTACTTGAAAGGAAGGTGCTATAGCCACATCCAGTATTATACACAGGAAGAATAATCTGCATCAGCGTAACTGTGGCAGTCTAGCCCAAATACGTTTCTGCTGTAAATTTAGCTTTATTTCTAAGTTGGTTTTAACTGCGGAGAGCTGTTCTGACTGTAAATGATGACAGGTTCCTGTAGTGAAAGACATATGTTAAAAGCAGGCTCTACCTTTTACAGAATGCGGAGGAATCACTGCTAGGCTCCAACAAGCAACCAAGAAAGTAACATCCCAGTGTGACCAGCTCTTGCAGTGCATGGACTGCATCTAGGAATGTTAATGGAAATATCTGAAAGCTAGGGCTTACCAGCAAGGTTCCATGGTGAAAACAGAAGTAGTGCAACATATAGGTTTTACCAGTCCTTCCATTATGATTGAGACAGAGGATTAGGCTTTTAAAGACTAACAGGTGAAGTAATGCTGGAAAACACTGGGAAAGTTACGATTAGTTAAGTTTCTTAATAGACAATCCAAACCGGACCTTTCTCTTCTCTCACTGTTGCTAATATTCTTAAAGGGATGTTTTTTCCCCACTTAACAGGAACATGTCTCAGTGCTGTCTTTTATCAGTTGTGCTGGCCTTGTTTTATATGAGTATTTTGCTAAGGAAAGTGTACACAAGTCTAAAGAAATGTACGAATGTTTAAATAGCTTACAGGATAATTTTAAAAATTAGCATAGATTCAACATGCAGGTGATGGTGACTCAATTCAGATGGTTTTTGATGAAATAATAAAATTGATGGGGATGTGTAACTGTGTCTATATGAACCATGTGCCATTTCTTCTGCTGCTATCCACCATAAGGGCTGCCTGTATGTACCTGAACGGTTACAGCTGGGATGTCAAACTAAACTAAGCAAGCTGGACCAGGATAATACTTGCTGGAAGGCTTCCATCCAAGTATTGCTGAAATTTGTGCTGGTAGCAGCAGTATCTGTAGATCTGCTCTGTATGAAGGTATTTTTTGCACTGTTTTAATTATTATATTGGTTTAGAAACAGCTACCCATGCACAAGCTAAATTTATTGAAATGGACTATACCAGTATAAGCATGTGATGCTTATACTGGTAGGCAGGTTTGAGAGGCAATGCCTTTTTTGGGTCTTAGTGTTCAACCTGTCCCCTCTTCCGACCATTCCCGAGGGTTCCCACAGCAGGCTCTTGTTGCTTGTAGACTGGTGACGCCTCCTCAATGGTGGATCTATTAACTTAAAAGTGAAAAGCCTTCCAGCTTGCCAGACCTATTAGCATCACACTGAACCTGTAAGAGAGCCATTAAGTGGTAATGAAACCACGTACAGGCACCTGCCAGCTCTGAATTTACTGACAAAACCAGTTGTGCATTACTGTGGCTACAGGGCCTTCGTTTAAAGTTTGCTTTAATATTTCATTAGTTTGTTGCTGAAAATCATAAAATCGTATCTCCACAAAATCCTTGCATAGCTATTTAGCTGCCAAAGCCTTAAATGTTTGGATCTTCATATACTTCTTCTAATAAATTCTTCAAAAGACCATTCTCTAAAATAAAAATTTTAATTTTAATTACTATCAACTTGTTTACAAAATCTTCCTGTTTTTTCTATCTATCCCTACTTTTCTTTCAGCCCCCTATTACAGGCATAACAGGCTTTTTGTTCCAGAGGTAAAAGGAAAACTCTTTGTCCAGCTGACTATTTGATTAACTAGTTTTAAGAAAACCTGCCACCAATAAAACCCTTTGAAACATATTTTAATGTAAACATATATTGAAATTTCATTAACATGTCTGGTTATGAAAATCAGAAAAAATAAATTAGTGTGCCCTTTTTCTGAGCGCAATGAACTTTGTTATAAACACGCTAAACCACTTTGCCTGATTAATTTAAATCTCGCACAAACTTCAGGGCATCAAAAAACCTGTGACTGACATTTTTTGATTTCCAAAGGTAGTATTTGTAATGAGGTACCGTCTGCACATCCAGTCTTCACAATCTGGCATACAGTGGGAAACATGCTCCATTGTCTTTAGAAGGACATTTTAGAAGAGTGTTTTTTCCAAATGTCATTTGCTACATTTGGGTTCGGGGTTTGGCTGGAATGAGTGAGCAGAGAGAAGAAAGAGGCAATGGAGAGAGGGAGGAACCTATGTGGAGCAGAGAGAGATTTTGGGTGGGGCTGCTCTCCAAGCAGCAGCTTCCCCCATCAGCCTCACTCTAGTCCTGTGGTTAAGGTGTTTGCCTGGGTTGTAGAAGAGCCTGGTTCAAATTCGCTACATTTGGGTTCGGGGTTTGGCTGGAATGAGTGAGCAGAGAGAAGAAAGAGGCAATGGAGAGAGGGAGGAACCTATGTGGAGCAGAGAGAGATTTTGGGTGGGGCTGCTCTCCAAGCAGCAGCTTCCCCCATCAGCCTCACTCTAGTCCTGTGGTTAAGGTGTTTGCCTGGGTTGTAGAAGAGCCTGGTTCAAATTCCGGGTTTGCACAGGATTTCCTGCCTCCTAGGTGACTGTCCTTTGTGGTGGGCCAGCCTTGTCTGAACCCCCTCTTTCTCTCAAGAGGCCGTTGGCTTCTTGGGACAGGGAGGGGGATTCAGACGGACTCTCCCCAGGAAGTGGGAGCCCCCAGTTCACACTCCTCAAAAGAGCAGGGGTGTGCCTTGCGGGTCTACCACACCCTGGGCCTGTATCCTCATCATGGTGAACAAAAGTGTGTGTGTGTGGTGGGGGGTTGCTGCCCAGGAGCAATTCCTCTTTAATTAAAGGGGCAGGAAGAGCTGCAAATGGCCTCTTGGTCAGCTACAAGGACTCTGCTCACACACACCAGAAGCCCTCTGCCTGGCAGCTCAGGGATTTGATTCACGGGCATTCACACCCCAAGTGCAAACCCCAACCTTCAGAGGGCCTTGTAAGCTTTTCTGTGCCTGGGTTAATACCTAGTTCCAGAACTCCCAGGGTACCTAACATGCAAAGTGGTCTGAAGCAGACAGCTGAGGGAGGAGCTGGCCCTGGTGCTACATGGACAGTAATTGCGCCCACAGTCCTGAGACCACAACCCAGGCTGCTGATTCTCTTTTAAAAATAGAAGAGTGGATAATGCAATGCTGCCAGAGTAAAAGCTGCTTGCTGAGAGATGATCACTTGGCATCTCCTGCAGTCTGGCACAAGTGCCAAATAGCAAGAGGGAACATCTATCAGGCCCAACTTAGTGGATCTGAAGAATACCAATAGGGAGATTTTGCCCACCTACTTGTGACACATATTTAAAACCCACAAACAAGTGCATACATGTTAAAACACTTGGAAAATGGTTTAATGGTGTTTACAACAGAAATGAACTGTACAATTACAGTAAGTTTAATATATATAAAAAATTACAGCAGACAAATGCATCTACACAAAATCTACCATTTCATCCTGATTCACTGTAATCTACACAATCTCTCAATGCCTACAGCCACTGGGAAAAAATAATAAAGGGTATCTTTAAAGAGACAGCATCCTTGTTATTCCCCACCTCAAGAAAGAGATACCAGTTTCAAAATCATAAAGGTCTTTCACATTTCAGTCTTAAGACCAGATGAGAATGTGTTTCATCTGGGTACAGGTATCACATTAAGGTCCCTGACCTCAAGTGTTCATCTGACCCCATGTGTACAAGTGATAGTATCGGAGGAGAGGTAAGAAAAAGGCTTAACACCCAGACTATACATTTTCTTCAGGTGAAGTGAAGCATAAAAGGATTATTCAATATTCACAAATCATTGCCTCATTAAAAGCTACTGGCCAGTTTCAGCAGAGAGGATATTTTCCAAATTCCATCTTTTCACTCAGAGTAACTGAGCGTTTTCAGACTAACACACATCCAAGATTTTTCTTAAATAAATCTCAGGCCACTTTCTCACTGTCCCCTGCAAAAGCAATGGAAAACACCCTTTAACCCAGTGATATAAAAAGTAAATTCAGGTCTTTAGAAAAATTAAGGGTGCTGTCTCCTTAAAAAAGAAATAAGGAATCCCAGCTGGGAATGGCAATCAGTGAAAATGCAATCCAAATTGACAGTTTGATGGAAGTTCATTATGGAATATTATGTACACTCTAGAACTTTTTAATTCATTTTAATTATGAACACCTAGGCAGTGAAAATTGTTATGTTAATACATACATAGACACACCCAAAACATACAAAAATACTATTATTTCAAACTACTAAGAATAGGACAGTTCAGTTATCTCCATGCTATGACTTTAAGAGAATTACACTGAAACAAACAAGAATTTAAACGACAATTTTTTCAATATCCCAGAAATATACCAAAATATACATCTAAGCTTTGGAATTACTGAGGTTAGACTAATGCAAGTGCTGGGTAATCGTACTTAATACACAAGTCTAAGGTTCTGCAGGAAAGAAATTATCTTTGGTATCTGCATCAGGCTAATATTATTAACATTTGGATTTTGCTTTGGGATAGAGCTTGTATGACCCTAGAACCAAACACCCCCCCGATCAACTGAGATTAAAAAGATCCATGTATAAAGTTCCTTCATTTGCAATCCCCCCCAAAGTTAAAAAGTCACAGGCATCTACCTAGCATAAAAGGTTGAGAAATACAATGCATAGTTGCACAATGGTGCTGCAAAAATAATACAAGTATAGAAAAAAGAAACTAGAGGAGAAATGAAAAGCTTTTTCTTCTTTCAGAGAATTCTCATAACAGGACAGCCTCTTCCAAGCAGGTTGGGGGGAGGGAGGATGGGGGGGAAGCTCAGAAGTGCACCTCAGCGTGTATTAATCAACATCACCCAGCCCCCAAAGGGTTAAAGCACCTAGCAGAGCAGCCAATCATGCACCAATGTCTTCAGCTTCTCAACCAATCTGTGGAGTCCCATTGGCTGCAGCAACCCATTTGCTCTCCCAACCCACTTCCCCCAGTAGCTGCACCCTGGGTTTTTGTGAGCTTAAAGAGCTAGGGTGGGATGGAAATCACCTGGCTCAGGTTGAGTCCACTTTGCTGTGGATGGAGCCATCCAGTATCGTGCCATGGGAAGCCAGTCTTTCCAGGTTAGAAGATGGCTGGAAATACCTGCCTTATCTACCAGGGCCAGCCTCCCAGATGGGATTGGTGCTGAAGACGCCCCTTTGTCTTTGGTTTGTTTGTTTGTTTTGAGTTTATACAATCATTAGGAAATCTTTGGTTTTGGCTGGAAATTTTAAAAGAACAAAACAAAACAAAGAAACCGCCCCCCCCCAGCTTATAGCAGCACATCGTGACCTGTCAAAGCTTCTCTTTCCCATGGGGGCGGAGGAACTACATTCAAAGTAAAGGTGGAAGGGATCAAGGATGCAGCTTCTGGACAGCCTGGGGGATACAAGATTGTCAAATAATAAAGAAGAAAATTAAATATTTGGAAAATTTTCTTTTTTGGTCTTTTTATTTTTTAAGGGTGAGTAGTGTGTGTGCAGCACTCAACTGAAAGAAGCCTGCAGAGACTTGCCTGGCCCTGGAGTTTCAGTGTAGTCCTGACATCAGGGGAGTGGAGAAAGGCAGTTGTATAACTTTCATGCACAAGTTGGAGGGTGGGTGCCTTTGGATATTCACAGACTAAGCGAGAGGACCCCTTGTAACCAAAAGAAATAGTATAAGATTGCAATTTGCCCTCAGTTTGCAGTAGCTTTTAAGCAGCGACATTCAGAGGCTTTAGGGGGTCACTCCCCAGGATGCAGGTCACGGGCTGCTATAGGCCAGAGTTCAACGTTAATCAAGGG